ACATTTAAGCAACCCAGTTTTATAAAGTTTTTCTTCTTCTCTTTTTTAGTAATTGTATACAGGAGAAGGGGTTACTAGCCCATTGCTCCCGGCATTTTAGTCGCTTCATACGACACGCATGGCTTACGGAGGAAAGATTCTTTTCCACTTCCCCATGGACAATAGAAGAAATAAAAAAGAACAAGAGCTATTTAGAAAAAGGAGAAAAACCTAGATGTATGTATATATATATATGCATGTGCATGTCTGTGAAGTGTGACCAAAGTGTAAGTAGGAGTAGCAAGATATCCCTGTTATCTTAGCGTGTTTATGAGACAGAAAAAGAAACCAGCAATCCTACCATCATGCAAAACAGTTACAGGTTTTTGTTTCACAGTCATCTGGCAGGACGGTAGTACTTCCCTGGGTGGTTGCTGTCTACCAACCTACTACCTATATATATATATATATATATATATATATATATATATATATATATATATATATATATATATATATATATATATATATATATATATATATAATTATATATATTATATATATATATATATATATATAATATATATATATATATATATATATATATATATATATATATATATATATATATATATATATATATATAGATAGATAGATAGATAGATAGATAGCGTGTGTGCTATCTTAATTGCTCACCTAATCGTGGTTCCAGGGGTTGAGTCGCAGCTCCTGGCTCCTTCTCTTTGTTAGTCACTTTATGAGCTTTGTCGTACCTCTTCTTAACGCTATATATGAATCCAGCCTCAACTACTTCACCCTTCAAAGTACTCCACTTTTTGACAACTCCATGGCTGACGAAATATTCCCTAACGTCAATGTGATTCACTCGAGTCTTCAACTTCCAGTGGTGACCCCTTGTTGCTGTGTCCCATCTCTGGAACTTCCTGTCTCTAACCTTCTTGAGGTTTAGCGCTTCTTTTAGATTATAATAATAATAATCTATCCTTAATAATAACCTATCTCCTGTTCTTCAGTATCATCAAGTCGATTTCCCTTAAACTCTCCTCGTAGGACATGCCCCTTAGCTCCGGGACTAGTCGCAATGCAAACCTCTGCATTTTCTCCAATTTCTTGACGTGCTTTACTAGGTGTGGGTTCAAGAGTGCTACATACTCAAGTATGGGCTGGACATACACTGCATAGAGAATCTTGAATGATTCCTTACTGAGGTGCTAGAATGCTATTCTTCAATTTGCTAATCGCTCAAATGCTTCAGCAGCTATTTGGCTGATGTGTGCTTCAGATGTGCTCGGTATAATACTCACCCTCGATCCTTTATCTTGAGTAAGGTTTGCAGTTTTTTGGCCCCTAAATTGTTCTCTGTCTGTGGTCTTCTTTGCTCTTCCCCTATATTAATGACTTTGCACTTGGTGGGGTTCAACTGTAGGAGCCAGTCGCTGGATCAGGCTTGCAGCCTGTCCAGATTCCTTTGTAGCCCTGCCTGGCCCTCATCTGTCTGAATTCTCATCATTAGCTTCAAATTGTATGCAAACAGGGAGACTTCTGAGTCTATTCCTTCTCTCATGTTATTCGCAAATGCCAGAAACCACACTGGACCCAGGACTGACCCTTGTGGAACCCTGCTCATCACAGGTGACACTCTGATACCTTGTCACGTACCATGACTCGTTGATTCCTCCTTGTCAGGAATTCCCCAATCCATTGTATGGAAGTGTGCCAAAAACCTTCTTACAGTCCAAGAAAATGCAGTCTACCACCCCTCTCTCTTGCCTTACTGCCATCACCTTGTCATAGAACTCCAGTAGGTTTGTGACAAAGGACTTCCCTTCCCTGAAACCGTGCTGGTTGTCATGTTTAAACTCATTCCATTCTTGGTGTTTCACCACTCCCCTCCTGGTAATCTTCTCCATGATTTTGCATACTATACATGTTATTGACACTGACTGGTAGTTTAATGCTGCATCTCCTTTCTTAAAAACTGGGATTACATTTGGTGTTTTCCACTCCTCAGGTAAACCATACCCCCGGCCGGGATTGAACCCGCGGTCATAGAGTCTCAAAACTCCAGCCCGTCGCGTTAGCCACTAGACCAGCTAGCCACAATAAGATTCATCCAACTAGAGTTCGTCACGGCCACGCTAGCTGGAGATTCGTCTGTAAAAACTTGCATTTGTGGTCACAGAGGTGCCTGTGCTAACTTTCCTATGGTGTAGAAATATACCTAGTTGGATGAATCTTATTGTGGCTAGCTGGTCTAGTGGCTAACGCGACGGGCTGGAGTTTTGAGACTCTATGACCGCGGGTTCAATCCCGGCCGGGGGTATGGTTTATTTGCAATCGTGTCATTACGATTTCTTAAGTCATGTTAACGGCAGTGAAGGGACTTGAGCTAGAGTTCGTCACGGCCACGCTAGCTGGAGATTCGTCTGTAAAAACTTGCATTTGTGGTCACAGAGGTGCCTGTGCTAACTTTCCTATGGTGTAGAAATATACCTAGTTGGATGAATCTTATTGTGGCTAGCTGGTCTAGTGGCTAACGCGACGGGCTGGAGTTTTGAGACTCTATGACCGCGGGTTCAATCCCGGCCGGGGGTATGGTTTATTTGCAATCGTGTCATTACGATTTCTTAAGTCACTCCTCAGGTAGTCGCTCTGTTTCGATAGATGTGTTGAAGATTGTAGCTAGTGGGTACAAAGAGCACTTCTGCTGCCTCTGTCTGGACCTGTGGAAAGATACTGCTTGGCCTTATTGCCTTTGAGGCCTCTAGTTCACATAACAGCCTCCTTACCTCCTCCTTGGTTATATATATTGTGTCCAGCACCTGACGGTGTACTCCACCACTCCGGCTTTTTGGGGTCCTTTCTGTCTCCACTATAATTAATTCTTTAAGTCTCTTGTTGAGCTCCTCAAACACTTCTAGATTGTCTCATGTGATCTTCCCTCCTTTCTTCAACAGCCTGATTACCTGGTCCACAGCTGTTGTTTTCCTCCTGATGTGATTGTACAACAGCATGGGTCTCACTTGGCTATCGCTGCTATGTCATTTTCTTATTGCTGTTGGGCCTCCCTGGAGGCCCAACAGCAATTTCTCCCTGGAGAAATTTTCTCCAGGACTGGAATATCAGCCCTTTTCAGCCATTTTCAGGTCTTTTCAGCCCTGATGTGCCCAGCCCTCTCAGAAGGGGCAAGCATCTTGTTTACTTCCACATCAAGTAATTACAAACAGACGTTTAACCAGTGTGTACCAGTCATAGGTCATGTGGCTTCTTTGCAAGAGTCAAGTGTTGCAACCAATTTGAGTTAACAAGAGTAAATAATCTCTGTACGGCAACAGGAAAGGTACAGTGAAACTTCTACCTCACTTTATTCACATGTGGAACATAATGAACTGTAAATGATTGAGACATATCAAGAAATCAAGCATTTGTGTTGCAAATTGTTGCAGTTTGGCAAGGAAGGCAGATGTGCTTGTACCAGGAAATCCTTTATATGAAGACAAGTCAGGTCAGCTGGGCATGCTGCGGGGAAGATTTCTTTTAGACTTAGTCGAGGCAACTCGTGCGTCACACTGTAATAACAAAGACTACAGTGATCGCACGTTTGTGTGCATAAAAGAATCTCAAATGACACAGCAGAAACTTACAGAGAAGTGATAAGACTGTGAATGATATACAATACTTGTTGAACAGAGTGTAACAACGAGTCACATATGGGTCCGATGCAGACACCTAAGTAGATCAAGTAATTAAAGAGACTAGGAAGGTCAGCTGCACAGCAGATAGCTGGTTCATTTCTCTGTAGATCTGTTGTACACCCAGTCATAGGCTGGCTTCTTAGCCCATAGGGAGTGCATACAACAGCTTCTCAAGACATCGCCTACAGGGACGGCTGTGTAGGCGAGAGCTGTCTTTGAAGATAAGTCCCATTGCAGTCCATTATTTACTCTTTGACTTGGCTTGTAACATTTCCCTAAAAATCTGTGCATATTCTAATCTGGCTCTGGTGTGTGTGCATGTGTGTTTATGTGGGTGTGGCTGCTCACCTAATTGTGGTTGCAGAGGTTGAGTCACAGCTCCGTGTATGTGTGTGTGTGCGAAACATCTACTGTGATATGATAGTGAACTTCTAAGTGCTTTCATGATTTGTCACATTATCAAGTAAGTGCAAAAATAATAGAAAATCAGAAGTCTTATAAGGCTGAGATATCACCTCACATATGACTGTACATCCGACCCAGTATGAAGCAGGTTGGAGGGTCAATACACATGTCAAGTTAAAATTATACACATCATGTCGTGCATGGCTTAAATTCCTCAAATTATTATATAAATTAATGTAATTTACATAACCCAGAACAAATAATCTAATTAAAATCAGTACTATTTTTCATTAATTTTGATTCAATTATATGTGTTTCAACAATGGACTTGCTTGATACAACTTTCTTGGCCTTTTGAAAATCAATTATGAGGTTTAAATCTCTCACAAGAATAAACAAAGCATTAGATTCTTGTACAGTTCTAATGTTATATTTATGTTGTTGTGATCTTAGTTCAAGTTTTTTTTCCAGTTTAATTATAATAATCTTTATTGCATTTTTTACATAGGAATCTTATAAACAAAGCCATCAGCATTTTTTGGAAAATTCTTAATCAAATGTTCTTTTACTTATAAAGATTTTTTAATACAACTTGTATTTTAAAATTCTCAAGTAGAGAAGGTACATGAAGACAGTTTCCATTGTAAAGCAGAACCAACATATTCTTGCTTAAATTTGTTTGTTTATCCTTTTCGAATTGTAAAATATATTTCTGACAGTTTTCAAGAATTTATCAATATTTTATGGTATATTAGATCATTATCTATTTCATAAATCTTCAAAAATTATTCCATCACTGTCTTTTGCCGTTAACAGGGATTAAAGAATATCCATATTTATTCACTAATCTCAAAATCTAATTCTCTAAAGCCAGAATATGAAAAGTACCAACATTCTCACCTGCCAAAAGCTTCACTTTCTTGTAGAGTTTGTGGTAATTCACAGCCAACAGTCTCTGGCAGGAAGACAGTAAGACAACCAGAGACTAGTGACAACACACCAAATATAAGTAGTGGTAATGGCGTGTATATATCAGCCTGTGGAAGATGTAAAATGTAAGTAGTGTTAATGGCGTGTATATGTCAGCCTGTGGAAGACGTAAAATATAAGTATTGGTAATGGCGTGTATATATCAGCTTGTGGAAGACGTTAAAAAACACATTATCATTCAATAAGATTTTTTTCGACCACTGAAAACATCAGTAATATGGATGAAAAACATAACTAACCACAATAAAATTTGTGCAGTACAATATTTTCTGTAAAGTGAATAATTAAGAGCACAGAACTTCCAGAATGATAAAAAAAATAAGAATTATCTATATGATGAATGGATAAAGTAAAGATCATTCCTGTTGGATACAGTGATCTCTCTCTCTCTCTCTCTCTCTCTCTCTCTCTCCTCTCTCTCTCTCTCTCTCTCTCTCTCTCTCTCTCTCTCTTTACACAGGGTTTGACAAGGTTAAGGATCCCTAGCTTTATTGACAGCAATTTACAGGTTAAGGATTCCTAACTTTATTGGCAAGCTAAGAGCTGTTACCTACATCAGCTCATTTGAAAACATTTTTATTGTTATGAGACACACAAGTAGGGAACAGGATGAAGTTGGAGCCATCTGTGGGCTAGCATTTTTATTTTTTCTCTCTCTCTCTAGATTGAAACCGTATGTGACGCCATCTAGCGAGGGAATTCTCTAAATTTCTGTTTCATCTGCCACTCAATGCAGCAACGGCATAAGAAATGGTGAAATCAGCATTTTTTTACTGGTCGATCTTGGGAGAAAAGTGTGGGACATCGAGGCAGTCATCTAAATGACAGTGAACAAGATTCCTTGTCACATTACACATGTCTATGGTTATGGTGGTGGCATGGCAAGGATGGGCGGTGGTATAATACTAAAGTGATGTTAACAAAGAACACAGGACGTAATTAGTCCACAGAACAAGTATAGTGACAGCTTGTTTAGTGATAAACACACTGCCTGAGAGTTTTAGGACTTACTTATCATAGGTTCAAGCCCCACCCATTCCCTGATTTGATTAACATGTATAGTATCAGACCCAGCCTATTAAAGTCATTCTGCAATCCTTCATGATAGACAACGTCAATTTTCACCAAACTTCGCATTAAACAACTGGAAATAATTCTTAAATCTGAGTTTTAAACCCTTGTACCTAATTACCTGAAAAATCTCTCAGAGCTATATACACTAAGTGTCTGTTTACCACCACGTATTAACCATAAAGAAACAGTCTACCACAAAGGCAAACTACTAAGTGGCAGTTTACCATCAAGCAATAAGCACTTTTTAGCTGCTTACCAGCAAGACATAACTACTAATAACCACATGGAAGGTGTTTACCAGTAAACTAGAACCAGATATACACTGCCTGGAAATTTACCAGACAATTTCAGAGGAAGGACAGAGAAAACTATTCACAACCATCGTGTATTATCCAATACACAAGTGAATCTAATTAATACTTTCACTCAAATTGATCAGTTATTCGTCTCTCAGCCTTTAAGTAGAGAGGACATGTGCTACTACTGCCCCCTATAGTTGACCAGTGGCAGTTTCATTTTCTCAACATGGTGCTGGCGTGTAGATGCCACGCCAATACTGTGTGTATTGAGTTGACCCATGGGGCTGTGCTTGGACCATCGACGGCTCTACTGTTGCCTGCGATAATCCATGATACCTATAGTATTGCCAACAAGGACTTGTGCAGTGTGGCAATGAATGGCGTGTTGAGGATCTTCGTGAAGTTCTGCTCAGCTCATGTTTACGAGGTGGTGGTTGACAAGTTCGAGGAGGTTAATCTAGTGGTTAACCCTGCAGTGTCAGTGAAGCTACATGACGTCTTCCTCTATTACACATGGGTAAAGGTCAGAAATGTGCCCTTTGAGGCTGATGTGTCTGACATTCGAGCTGCACTGGGCAATCATGGCACCGTACACATGGCTACAGCAGGAAGGTGGTCTGATGGCCCATATGCAGGGATACCAGAGGGAACGTTTTCTGTAAAGATGACATTACGACACCCAATCCCTTCTTACGTGATCTTGCAAGACTTCAGGACTCAGGTATAGGTGTCATATGCAGGGCAACGCTGCACTTGCAGGTTGCGAGGCGCATATGACCATATGGCGGTACAGTGTGAACGACGACGAAGTGCCAAGGTTGGGCAACAAATCACAGACGTTGGGGAGGAAGGTGAGGGGCAAGATGTGCCTGGTGCAATGGTGATACCATGAGGATTGCCTTGGAGTGAAGAGGTTGAGAGGTCTACGGAGACAGCGTGTGCCACACTCCTGGGAGTGTTGCCTTCTTTGGAGGCGGAACCAGTAGTGGGCCCGACTCTGCAAGATGTGCATAACAACGACGTCGAGGAATCCATTGTCTCCGTGCTGGATGAATTATTTACAGAGAGGAGCATGAGTCCTGTGATGGACCCACCCCTAGACCTGGGACCTGCTGTGAAGGTGGACGTTGGACACGAAGAGCAGCCGGTCGAGGGCATCCCTGGTGCCTTGCTGAAACATACGGTGGAGGTGGAAATCCACCAGGACTGCACTGTGGATAACAATATGCAGGTGGAAAGTGTAACACGGAAGCGTTCTGTAGTGCTTTCAGACTCGGAGGAAGTGCTGACGCCAGCTCAGCGATCAGGAAACAAACCTGGGCAGATGTGGCACAGAGAGGGCCCTGTGGACCTAAAGCTCAAGGGTTGGTCAAGTTTGCTTCAAAAGGGGAAGGGGCCAAAAAGGTGGAAATAAAAGATCTGGTGAGAAACATTGAGTATCGAGAGGAAACCCCCACTGACCAATTTAATTAATTGCCTGACAATAAATATTAATGATTTGAGGACTGTGCGAAAGCGTGTATGGTTCCGAGAATTATTGGTGTGTGATAATGTTGATGTTGTGTTCATACAGGAAAACAATCATAAATTAGGCAGTGAGTTGTGGACGGATGGGTATGACGTGTATGTGGAGGATGTTATACGGTTGAAAGGTGGCGTTGCCATCATGATCAGGAGACTAGCCCATTTGTTATGAGACATTGCGAAGGTGGGGAGGGGAGGATCATAAGGGTGGAAGGTCTATCGGGCAGGGAGAGGGCAGCTTTTGTGTGCATGTACCTGGAGTTTACCTGGAGAGAGTTTCGGGGGTCAACGCCCCCGCGGCCCGGTCTGTGACCAGGCCTCCTGGTGGATCAGCGCCTGATCAACCAGGCTGTTGCTGCTGGCTGCACGCAAACCAACGTACGAGCCACAGCCCGGCTGATCAGGAACTGACTTTAGTTGCTTGTCCAGTGCCAGCTTGAAGACTGCCAGGGGTCTGTTGGTAATCCCCCTTATGTGTGCTGGGAGGCAGTTGAACAGTCTCGGGCCCCTGACACTTATTGTATGGTCTCTTAACGTGCTAGTGACACCCCTGCTTTTCATTGGGGGGATGGTGCATCGTCTGCCAAGTCTTTTGCTTTCGTAGTGAGTGATTTTCGTGTGCAAGTTTGGTACTAGTCCCTCTAGGATTTTCCAGGTGTATATAATCATGTATCTCTCCCTCCTGCGTTCCAGGGAATACAGGTTTAGAAACCTCAAGCGCTCCCAGTAATTGAGGTGTTTTATCTCCGTTATGCGCGCCGTGAAAGTTCTCTGTACATTTTCTAGTCGGCAATTTCACCTGCCTTGAAAGGTGCTGTTAGAGTGCAGCAATATTCCAGCCTAGATAGAACAAGTGACCTGAAGAGTGTCATCATGGCTTGGCCTCCCTAGTTTTGAAGGTTCTCATTATCCATCCTGTCATTTTTCTAGCAGATGCGATTGATACAATGTTATGGTCCTTGAAGGTGAGATCCTCCGACATAATCACTCCTAGGTCTTTGACGTTGGTGTTTCGCTCTATTTTGTGGCCAGAATTTGTTTTGTACTCTGATGAAAATTTAATTTCCTCATGTTTTACCATATCTGAGTAATTGAAATTTCTCATCGTTGAACTTCATATTGTTTTCTGCAGCCCACTGAAAGATTTGGTTGATGTCCGCCTGGAGCCTTTCAGTGTCTGCAATGGAAGACACTGTCATGCAGATTCGGGTGTCATCTGCAAAGGAAGACACGGTGCTGTGGCTGACATCCTTGTCTATGTCGGATATGAGGATGAGGAACAAGATGGGAGCTAGTACTGTGCCTTGTGGGACAGAGCTTTTCACCGTAGCTGCCTCGGACTTTACTCTGTTGACGACTACTCTCTGTGTTCTGTTAGTGAGGAAATTATAGATCCATCGACCGACTTTTCCTGTTATTCCTTTAGCGCGCATTTTGTGCGCTATTACGCCATGGTCACACTTGTCGAAGGCTTTTGCAAAGTCTGTATATATTACATCTGCATTCTTTTTGTCTTCTAGTGCATTTAGGACCTTGTCGTAGTGATCCAGTAGTTGAGACAGACAGGAGCGACCTGTTCTAAACCCATGTTGCCCTGGGTTGTGTAACTGATGGGTTTCTAGATGGGTGGTGATCTTGCTTCTTAGGACCCTTTCAAAGATTTTTATGATATGGGATGTTAGTGCTATTGGTCTGTAGTTCTTTGCTGTTGCTTTACTGCCCCCTTTGTGGAGTGGGGCTATGTCTGTTGTTTTTAGTAACTGAGGGATGACCCCCGTGTCCATGCTCCCTCTCCATAGGATGGAAAAGGCTCGTGATAGGGGCTTCTTGCAGTTCTTGATGAACACAGAGTTCCATGAGTCTGGCCCTGGGGCAGAGTGCATGGGCATGTCATTTATCGCCTGTTCGAAGTCATTTGGCGTCAGGATAACATCGGATAGGCTTGTGTTAGTCAAATTTTGTGGCTCTCATATAAAAATTCATTTTGGTCTTCGACTCTCAGTCTGGTTAGCGGCTTGCTAAAAACTGAGTCATATTGGGACTTGAGTAGCTCACTCATTTCCTTGCTGTCATCTGTGTAGGACCCATCTTGTTTAAGTAGGGGCCCAATACTGGACGTTGTTCTCGATTTTGATTTGGCATAGGAGAAG